TTGTTACATGTCACACTTCATTTTACTAACATTGTTACATGTCACATTTCATTTTACTACCTTTGTTACATGTCACACTTTATTTCACTCCCTTTGTTACATGTCACACCTCATTTTACTACCTTTTTTACATGTCACATTTCATTTAATTACCTTTATTACATGTCACATTTCATTTAGCTACCTTTGTTACATGTCATACTTCATTTTACTTCCTTTGTTACATGTCACATTTCATTTAACTACCTTTGTAACATGTCACATTTTATATAACTACCTTTGTAACATGTCACATTTTATTTAACTACCTTTGTTACATGTCACACTTCATTTTACTTCCTTTGTAACATGTCACACCTCATTTAACTTCCTTTGATACATGTCACACTTCATTTTACTAACTTTGTTATATGTCACACTTCATTTTACTAACATTGTTACATGTCACACTTCATTTAACTTCCTTTGTTACATGTCACACTTTATTTCACTACCTTTGTTACATGTCATACTTCATTTTACTTCCTTTCTTACATGTCACATTTCTTTTAACTACCTTTGTTACATGTCACACTTTATTTCACTCCCTTTGTTACATGTCACACCTCATTTTACTACCTTCATTTAACTACCTTTGTTACATGTCACAATTCATTTTACTACCTTTGTTACATGTCACCCTTCATTTTACTAACACTGTTACATGTCACACTTCATTTAACTACCTTTGTAACATGTCACATTTTATATAACTACCTTTGTAACATGTCACATTTCATTTAACTACCTTTGTTACATATCACATTTCATTTAACTACCTTTGTTACATGTCATACTTCATTTAACTACCTTTGTTACATGTCACTTTTCTTGTAACTACCTTTGTTACATGTCACACCTCATTTTACTACCTTTTTTACATGTCACATTTCATTTAATTACCTTTATTACATGTCCCATTTCATTTAACTACCTTTGTTACATGTCACATGTCACATTTGATATAACTACCTTTGTTACATGTCACACTTTATTTCACTCCCTTTGTTACATGTCACACCTCATTTTACTACCTTTTTTACATGTCACATTTCATTTAATTACCTTTATTACATGTCACATTTCATTTAGCTACCTTTGTTACATGTCATACTTCATTTTACTTCCGTTGTTACATGTCACATTTCTTGTAACTACCTTTGTTACATGTCACATTTCATTTTACTACCTTTGTTACATGTCACATTTCATATAACTACCTTTTTTACAAGTCACATTTTATTTAACTACCTTTGTTACATGTCACACTTCATTTTACTTCCTTTGTAACATGTCACACCTCATTTAACTTCCTTTGATACATGTCACACTTCATTTTACTAACTTTGTTACATGTCACACTTCATTTTTCTTACTTTGTAACATGTCACACCTCATTTAACTTCCTTTGATACATGTCACACTTCATTTTACTAACTTTGTTACATGTCACACCTCATTTAACTTCCTTTGATACATGTCACACTTCATTTTACTAACTTTGTTATATGTCACACTTCATTTTACTAACATTGTTACATGTCACACTTCATTTAACTTCCTTTGTTACATGTCACATTTCATATACCTACCTTTGTAACATGTCACATTTCATTTAACTGCCTTTGTTACATGTCACACCTCATTTTACTACCTTCATTTAACTACCTTTGTTACATGTCACACTTTATTTCACTCCCTTTGTTACATGTCACACCTCATTTTACTACCTTCATTTAACTACCTTTGTTACATGTCACACTTCATTTAACTACCTTTGTAACATGTCACATTTTATATAACTACCTTTGTTACATGTCACATTTCATATAACTACCTTTGCTACATGTCACATTTCCTATAACTACCTTTGTTACATGTCACATTTCATTTAGCTACCTTTGTTACATGTCATACTTCATTTTACTTCCGTTGTTACATGTCACATTTCTTGTAACTACCTTTGTTACATTTCACATTTCATTTAACTACCTTTGTAACATGTCACATTTTATATAACTACCTTTGTTACATGTCACATTTCATATAACTACCTTTTTTACAAGTCACATTTCATTTAACTACCTTTGTTACATGTCATACTTCATTTAACTACCTTTGTTACATGTCACTTTTCTTGTAACTACCTTTGTTACATGTCACATTTCATTTTACTACCTTTGTTACATGTCACACTTCATTTTACTACCTTTGTTACATGTCACATTTCATATAACTACCTTTTTTACAAGTCACATTTCATTTAACTACCTTTGTTACATATCACATTTCATTTAACTACCTTTGTTACATGTTACACTTCATTTAACTGCCTTTGTTACATGTCAAACTTCATTTCACTACCTTTGTTACATGTCACATTTCATTTTACTACCTTTGTTACATGTCACATTTCATTTAACTACCTTTGTTACATGTCATACTTCATTTAACTACCTTTGTTACATGTCACACTTTATTTCACTACCTTTGTTACATGTCACACCTCATTTTACTACCTTTTTTACATGTCACATTTCATTTAATTACCTTTATTACATGTCCCATTTCATTTAACTACCTTTGTTACATGTCATACTTCATTTTACTTCCGTTGTTACATGTCACATTTCTTGTAACTACCTTTGTTACATTTCACATTTCATTTAACTACCTTTGTAACATGTCACATTTTACTTAACTACCTTTGTTACATGTCATACTTCATTTAACTACCTTTGTTACATGTCACATTTCTTGTAACTACCTTTGTTACATGTCACACCTCATTTTACTACCTTTGTTACATGTCCTATTTCTTTTAACTACCTTTGTTACATGTCACATTTCATTTAACTACCTTCGTTACATGTCACATTTCATTTAGCTACCTTTGTTACATGTCACTCTTCATTTAACTACCTTTGTTACATGTCACATTTCATATACCTACCTTTGTAACATGTCACATTTCATTTAACTACCTTTGTTACATGTCACATTTCATATACCTACCTTTGTAACATGTCACATTTCATTTAACTACCTTTGTTACATGTCACACTTCATTTTACTTCCCTTGTTACATGTCACATTTCATTTAACTAACATTGTTACATGTCACACTTCATTTAACTACCTTTGTTACATGTTACATTTCTTGTAACTACTTTTGTAACATGTCACACCTCATTTTACTACCTTTGTTACATTTCACATTTCATTTAACTACCTTTGTTACATGTCACACTTCATTTTACTTCCCTTGTTACATGTCACATTTCATTAAACTAACATTGTTACATGGTACATTTCTTGTAACTACCTTTGTTACATGTCACACCTCATTTTACTACCTTTGATACATGTCACACTTCATTTTACTTCCCTTGTTACATGTCACATTTCATTTAACTACCTTTGTTACATGTCACACTGCCTTCTTCTTCCCTTGTTACATGTAACATTTCATTTAACTACCTTTGTTACATGTCACATTTCTTGTAACTACCTTTGTTACATGTCACACCTCATTTTACTACCTTTGTTACATGTCACATTTCATTTAACTACCTTTGTTACATGTCACACTTCATTTAACTACCTTTGTTACATATCACACTTCATTTAACTAACATTGTCACATGTCACACTTCATTTAATTTCGTTTCTATTTTGAATTCTAACAAACTTTGATAAATTTGTTCTCGATAACGTTGTAAACATATACATTAAGCAGCTTAAGAACAATAGACCAGACTGTGAAAGACTTTCAATATTCCAGATTTGAAATGCTTCCTTCGTTGTTATGTCTAGAGTTAATTTGCTTTATTTAAGGTAGTGGTTTTGGAAACAATACCAACGGTTGGGATAGCATTTTTGGTTTATCGGATTCTACCTAACCTCGATCTCATCGCTGGGACAGCTATTCTTAACGCATGCTGCCTGCTTCCCGGTGTAGTAAACCTGATGTCCTGGTTCAGGGGCATGGATAAAGATCCTGAACAAGAAGCAATGACATCGCTACAGATATTGAGGTCACGGATACTGGACGGATTTGGGTTACTCTTACAAATTGGGTCAATACCGTATATAGTTCTAGCAGATGTATATACATACGATACAACTATGGAAAAGATAGGCGTCGTGCTATGTTTAGCAGCATGTTCATGGGTGTGTTGGGAAAACGTTTTTAAAGATTTTAAATGTTTGAATAAATTTAGAATCAAAGACAAACAGAGACCAGTTCTTATGATGGTATCATCACTGATCAAAATTAGTGTTATGTTTGGAATTGGTATTTCGGGGTCATATTCAGATTTTGATAAATACATATACATCTTACCAAAAGCATTTGACAAACTTTGGTTTGATTATATGTTAGTAGATAGGTATTTTTTAGTTTTTATCTTCTCGTCTTTCATCGGATATCATGTTGCATACACTGCATGTAAATTGAATATGCAAATATTTTCGTTCTCGCTACCATTAATGGCAACAACTCCCGTTACACTAATAGTTCACTACCTCAACTTCCAAAATAAAGTCCCTATAGTTGATCTTAAACGCTTAAACACCTATTGTGAGTTTCCGTCGAACTGGCAAGTCTGTGCATCATTTGCCTGGGTACTGTCCCTATACTTGATCGGAAGGCATATTTGGACCCCACACCAAGAGCGAATGGCGAAATTAGAAGCGTAAGTGTCACACATAGTGCTTCCGGTGTTTTGACAAATGTAACAAGTATTGCAGTATTCTGTTTTCATATTTGCATATTTTTGTGTCATATACTATCAGCAAAGCAGACGATGAAAAAGTGGTAATCAATCCGTCGTTATGTAGAATCGTTCTGTATATAGTTTTCTTAAACGAAATGATATGGAACTCTTAAAAGGAATGATTTAATCTGTAACGTATGGCCAAAACGCTGAATTAGGTTCGCTTTCAGAGTTGGCCAAATCTATCAGGAATATTTATTAGATGCTTGAAATCTAAAATGAAAAATCCTATTTGTTTTGCTCAAAGTTCTTATATTCTAATTATTGTATTCCAACTCAATTTCATTTTATTTCATATTTTAAGCATCGATATTGATCTATCCTTCTTGGATTTGTTAACGCAGTTTGTTTGTCGCTCCAAAATATTGTGGCGTTCTGTTCGAACAACAGTTGGTACTGAATAGACGGTCAAATGAACACAAGATTAGTAAGAATCCTAAAAGGTAAGTGTCTGGTAAACTTAACAATGACAAATACAGATAAAAGTATTTAACTACTTTTGTTCGAGGCTAAAAATCCGTGTTTAAGAGATAAATCAGAGCCAGATAAGAGCAATGTCTGTAATGCGGTTCCGGGGTCTATCTACAGTGTATGAATAATACAGACTTAAAAGGTTAGGACTGTTGCAAACGAGATAGTGAACTGTTCTTATCCAAATATTGCTTTTATAACGCTAAATTAGCAACAATAACAAACAGATTCGTGTAAAACTAACTTAGTAAACATATAAAAAGTTCATGAATCATCAGTGAAATAAAGAACAAAATTTTGCTTGGTAACATTGAAATAACAAATAAATGCAGATTTGGGAAGTACCAATGAAATTAACAAACATTGAGATTTGTATGTAACTTTAAAATTAGACCTACGTGATATTTATGATATTCCAACATACATGCTGTTTTAGTGCCAATGAGCCGAGTAATATACCATTGGACCAAGTTCAAAGTGAAATACCTTCTTCCAAGCAACCTAAGGAATCACCGCCAGACATCTACGCATGCGCAACATTATGGCATGAGACCCCAATGGAAATGACGCAACTGATGAAATCTCTTTTTGTGTAAATGCTTTTATGTCTTAAATATTTACACATTTTTAATAGATAATTCTTAGAAAATCAAATGGTAAATACATATCAACAGACATTATGTTTGATTGAATGTTCGTTAGCACACAATACACATAAACTACTTACTTTTTTTTTTTTTTACTGTTATCACCACGGCGTGAGATCTAACGAAATAATATAAATATCAAGATGCGTTTAGAACAACATGTCCATTTTTCTGAGTTTTCTATTACATGTTATCACAGTGCGTTAACACTTTATATAACCACAACAAGACTACCCCCTTGGTTAATTGCATTACACTGCGTGGTTAACGTTGAATTGATAAGAAATCAGTGTTCAGTAAATGTAGTTTGAAGTATCATTATGAGTGGTCACAATGTGTTGAACTGTAATAAAAGTGTCACAACTCACATTGGATTCAGCGTTTAAGGTATTTTGTCTTTTTTAAAGGATGGACATGGATTTTACCACCAGAAAAGCAGCCTCCACCAAAGAGCCATCTATAGAAACATATGAGTTTGAAAGTACGAAACAGATATGACGTTATGTAGCGTGTTTCGTCCTTAAATGATGTGAAGTATAAAATATTTAATGTATTAATACACTAACAACATACTAAGAATATGTTAATCTTGTCCGATGTACATACCTCGCTAACAAAATTCTGAGTATATATTGATCCCGTATGATAAATAGGAACTTTTAATACAAATCCTCGACTGTTGTTCTGAGTGATGTTGACTGCAGATGCTACTGACCAAGTTTAGTATGTTTTCGATTTGCAGTACACATATTTTCAATCCAATATGTTTTAACACGCATCGAGAAAAACAAGTGTTATATAGACTATTTAAACACTACTTGTTAGCTACTAAGTAGAAAGAATGTATGATTCAATGACTGCAGTCAGCACTATGAATGTTCATTATACAAATAAAAAGTCCTTTTCGGCTACTAGGCAGACAGTTTTAGTACAATTTACAAACCCTTTTCTGAATGTTTTTTTCTTGAAGGTCACATCTTGTTTGACGATGCTTTCGAAAACGACAAAAAAGACAGGAGGGTGCCAAATAAGTTTGTGAAACAGTTTGTGGAGCTGTTACCGGACGCTGCTAGGTAAAGTGAAGATTTACAGAAAAATATCAATTAGTTATTGATGTAATGTCTAACCGTATTACCCACACATCCGACAGTCAAACCACTGCAATTACCACATTGACAGTCAAACGAAACGAAATCCAACTCTGCATAAGTCAAACAAGTCGAATTATCACAAATCCAACAGTCAAACAACTCTTCGTCATCATCTGAACGTTACCCCCCCCCCCCCCCCCCCCCCCCCANCATCTGAACGTTACCCCCAATAGTCACACAGCTCAACTTCATCATCTGAACGTTACCCCCAATAGTCACACAGCTCAACTTCATCATCTGAACGTTACCCCCAATAGTCACACAGCTCAACTTCATCATCTGAACGTTACCCCCAATAGTCACACAGCTCAACTTCATCATCTGAACGTTACCCCCAATAGTCACACAGCTCAACTTCATCATCTGAACGTTACCCCCAATAGTCACACAGCTCAACTTCATCATCTGAACGTTACCCCCAATAGTCACACAGCTCAACTTCATCATCTGAACGTTACCCCCAATAGTCACACAGCTCAACTTCATCATCTGAACGTTACCCCCAATAGTCACACAGCTCAACTTCATCATCTGAACGTTACCCCCAATAGTCACACAGCTCAACTTCATCATCTGAACGTTACCCCCAATAGTCACACAGCTCAACTTCATCATCTGAACGTTACCCCCAATAGTCACACAGCTCAACTTCATCATCTGAACGTTACCCCCAATAGTCACACAGCTCAACTTCATCATCTGAACGTTACCCCCAATAGTCACACAGCTCAACTTCATCATCTGAACGTTACCCCCAATAGTCACACAGCTCAACTTCATCATCTGAATGTTACCCCCAATAGTCACACAGCTCAACTTCATCATCTGAACGTACCCCCAATAGTCACACAGCTCAACTTCATCGTCTGAATGTTACCCCTAAAAGTCACACAGCTCAACTGTATCATCTTAACCTAACCCCCGGAAAGTCACACAGTTTATCTTCAACATCTAAACCTACCCCCGGGAGTCAAACAGCACACACACACAAAAGTATGTATTCACGTAAACTGCCATCTGTCTGTGTTCATATGTCGTTTTCCTGAATAGACTGTTTTTTGTTATATGTTCCGGGACACTTAGTATCGGCTTTTTTCTTCCATTCTTCTACTGATAAGCGCTGCTCACAAAACCAAAATAGAAATTGATGACCCAGTGAAGATAGTGACGCCGTACGGGGGGCAGATTGTGTACCAATTGCCTGGCAGTTCTCTCCTGTATATTCATCTCAAAGACAAAAATGTCATACGTCACAGGAAAAGGTGGTCTCAGGTTTGTGTTCAAGCAATGCTCATATCTTCAAAAATATGTTTCTGAAAGAAATATATCCATAAACCACAGAAACAAATTAAATGCCAGCATCTTTGTAAATACAAAATGTATAACTAATATATAAATCCAGATGCATGTATACTTTCAATTCAAATTTTATGTATTTTTGTGTTAAGTTAAACCTACATAAACATTTTGGTCACATTCATATAAAAATATACACATACTTCAGTATATCATGTCATAATTCAGGTTTGAAAAGACATCAAAGTTGGCCTCATATCAATTTCAAAACTTCATCGAGATTTAATTCAGATTGCACTTAAAAGTAGATCTGGCTATAACTTATGTATGACTGTACCGGCTTAGTTCTTTACGTTCAGCGTACGTAGGTGTATGTTTGACTACTGTAGGTGATGTACATGTACTACCTCCTTGGTTATCGCATCGGGCTGAATGCAGATATTTCCACCAAAGATCAGGGCGACAAAGAAACAGCTCAATTTAAATCTGAAAAGGTATTTGTTTTCGTGCTTGAGCGATCATATACGTGAATTGCACATTTATTGTTATTTATACGAAGGCATTGCGTGTATGTGGTTATTTAGGATGTATAGAAGTTCACATCTTTGAAGTGATGAAAAATGATAACCTGCTGTCAACCACACAAACTATTTATTGGTTTGCCAGCAGGCACATAACTGCCATTTAAGCAAATAAGCAATCGCATCCCAATTAAAAGTCTCTACTAGCACTTTTTATTATGTAGTATATTTTTTTACAAAAAGAATAAAATGTTACAATTAAATAAATTATACATTCAAATACTACTCTCATAGCCGTTAGATAGCTCCACAAACGTTTTCATTTCAATATTTTTACCGCGTTTGGAGTGTTCTACTTAATTAACTAATTAACTTTGCATGAATTTCGTCAACAGTCAAGCTACGTGCATGGCAACGCTGGAAACAGCTACTCCGCAGGAAAATCGTTTCATAGTCCGCTCAACACATAATGGTTGTAGAACCCATTCTAAATATATAATTAAACCAACTGGATTTAGTAATTTGTAACACATATTGTCCGTTGCATCTACTATTTACACATTAAAGTTATCCAAACCTTGATAAACCACTGGCGTTTATCGGTGCCTTACTCTGTCAGTACCTCATTTCGTCTATTGAATCCGGACTCGACTACAATCATTCCTCTCATAATCTTGTACATTATCATTGTACATATAAGCGTAGTACTGGTGCACTACCCGGCATAGTCATACTGATCGAGTACCGAGATCATCAGTAACACTATCCTGCCTAGTCACACTGATCGAGTTATCAGATTATCAGTAACACTACCCCGACTAGTCACACTGATAGAGTTGTCAGATTATCAGTAACACTACCCCGACTAGTCACACTGATCGAGTTGTCGTATTATCAGTAACACTACTCCGACTAGTCACACTGATCGAGTTATCAGATTATCAGTAAGACTGCCCCGACTAGTTTAACTGATCGATTTATCAGACTATCAGTACACTACCCCGACTAGTCACACTGATCGAGTTGTCGGATTATCAGTAACACTACTCCGACTAGTCACACTGACCGAGTTATCAGATTATCAGTAACACTACCCCGACTAGTTACACTGATCGAGTTGTTAGATTATCAGTAACACTATCCCGACTAGTCACACTGATCGAGTTGTTAGATTATCAGTAACACTACCCCGACTAGTCACACTGATCGAGTTATCAGATTATCAGTAACACT